ATTGTAATATTTAATACAGTGAAATGATCTTATTGTAGATACTAATCGGTAGGGCGATAGTTTCCAGTATAAAGAAATTACATAAATAACGGGTGGAGCAAAAGTTTTGCATTAATTTTGTTTTTGATATAACTCTGCAACGTAATGTCGTGGAGACTTGATTTTTGTTTTTTGTTAGAAAGAGCAAAGTGTCTAGTGCAAGAATATATAAAAAGAAATTGATTGGAAATGTTTTTCGAAAACCACAACAATCTTAGAACAGAAGGCGTTGGGAAACTCTTCCGAACTTTTTTGAAGTTAGAAAAAAATTCCTATAATTAGACAGGTTATCTTTTTATTCGTCTAATCCGGATTTTATAATATAAGGATAGAGCACTTTTGTGTCACAAAAAAAGAAATATTTCTACATGTTTTATAATTTTTGGATTAAAAAAATGTGACCAAAGTTGCGGAAGAGTTTTTCGGAGCCTTGTGTTCTAAAACTATTGTGGCCTTCGCAAAACATTACAAATCAAATTCTTTTATATATTTTTGCACTAGACATTGCTCTTTCTAACAAAAAAAAATCAAGTCTGTACGATGTTGCATTGCAGAGTTATATCAAAAACAAAACTAATGCAAAACTTTTGCCCCACCCGTTAGATACAATAGGAATTTTCAATGGAATTATTTTCGAAATAATAAAATTTCAAAAACTTATGTATCATCTATAAAAATTTTTCTAATTTTGATTTATTCATTTATGAATTACACATTTTGGTTCCTCATGGGGGTCGTGTTGACAAGTTTTTCTTTAGAATTTTTGATTATTCCTGATGATTTTTTTGTAACAAGATTGTGAAATAAATTCGTTTTAGATCAATATATGAATCACCAATAATAATAGCTCCATCCACATTTCATTGTCTTGCTCATATTGATGGTGAAGTTGCAACAGCTCGTGGTGCAACTGAAGCTGAATGTATTTATACTTATAATTGGATGTATTCAACAATGCCAGAAGAGAAAGTTTTACAAACAACAGGTTTAGTATTCCATTATTGTTTTTTGGTCTCATTCTCAATAAATATTATTTTTATATTTCAAATAAATATAGGTCCAAAATTTTTACATGTTTATTTGACAACACCAATTGAAATTTTAGAAAAAATCGTTTCACAAGCTGAGAATAATGGATATCGATCAATTGTTATTACATGTGATCATCCAACAGATCGTGTTCGAGATAATGTTTTACCATTATTTGAAGAAGCATCAAAAACTATTGATCTAGAATTAACAAAATGTATGCCTATGCCAAATATGAAT